AATGTTGGAATGAAACAGTCACATTAGGAGTTGTCACCACACTGCAGTGGGAGGAATGTAAACAGTGGTACGACAAATGTGGTAATTAGTTTTGGAATTCTCATACCGCCTTCTTCTGTCTTCTTGGTCCTCTACCAACGTTGCCCCTCCGTCTGTTGGTCCTTTCCTTCGTCCTTCCTTAAACTTCTCCACCGGGATTCCTCCCTCCGGGCCACTGTGACATTGTTAAATCCGCCGATACCTGTAGGAAGGTCCTCACGTTGAATAACTCCCAGTGGTTTGTGTTATTGTGTGGTTGGTTTGTTGTGTCCTATACATTTCCAACACATTTGTGTGTTATTAATAGTATTGTTTTAAAATAACTTAAACTTAAACTTAAGTTAACTACGGCGTTAAAAAAGTAAATAGAAATTAAAAAAAAAAAAAAACTACCAACACTGGAGGTCTATTTACAATGATAAACACAGTGCTATTTAAGAAGGAATAAAGAACTAGTAAGATTTAAGGTGAAAAAATAAGAGGCGAGTTGCCACTCTCTGCGGCGCTTCAGACCAAGATCTCTCTGAGCAACAGTTCAATTTAAAGATCATGAGAAATCAGCAGTCATTGGTAAAACAAATTGGAGGCTTAGCATCAAAATCTGTGCAGTTTTAAATAGGAACTGTTTCATTGTCAAGCATACAATGTTTCTAACAAACTGGAACTAACAGGTGTGTTGCTTTAGCAAAGATAATCTTAAAATTTCAAATAGAAGTTTGGTCTAGGGTTAGCACTGTTGAATAACCTTAGTAACCTTTTCTGGACTGGATAACACATTCAAAACTAATGGTATTTATTTATTATCAACTAAATGGAAGTTTTAATCATTTAAAAATTCATTTTCTGGGGCCAAACTTATTTTAAATGTAACTAATACATTTAGTGTCTAAATTATACTGTTTTTAACTTTAAATAGATATTATTGAAGGAAAGAGGAAAAATGTCGCTAAAACAAGTGACCACAAACTTCTGAGCTGTAGTGTCACTATGTACATTACTCAATTCAATTCAATTTTATTTGTATAGTGCCATCTCACGGGTTTCAAATAGAGCAGGTCTAGACAGCACTCCTTATAACATTTACAGAGACCCAACAGTTCCCACTCAAGCACTGTACTTAAGTACATTTTTGAGGTACTTGTACTTTACTTCAGTATTTTCTTCTCATGGTACTTTATACAGGTAAATATTGTACTTTAATCCTGCTGCATTTATCTGACAGCTCTACCTATTTTACAAATGAATATTTTTGCATACAGAACATTGATGAAAAGCTTACTAAATATGATGCTTTGTTATAAATTAAGCCACCCAACGCTGTAGACAAGTAGAGCTAAAACTGAAGTGTGATGGGCATTTCACTCTGAATTTACAACCAATAAAGATAATTACTAGAATGAGTAAGTAATGAGTAATTTTTTTAATTAGCTCCAACTCAGCCATCTACAACAGTAAAATGCTGCTCACAAATTAGTGCATCAGTAAGAATAAACAGTATATAATAGTACAGTCACAGGGGCCATTTTTTGTTTTCATTCAGGCCCAGTGGATTCTTGTAATACCATTAGGAGCACTAGGAGGAGCCAGAGGAACGTATTGTTTTCACAGATTATCTGCAGGACACAGTGAAAATTACTGCAAAATGTAACTTTAAAATACATTCACCTGATTATAATTACATAATTAACATTTTAAAGTCAGAACATTTACTTGTAATGGAGTATTTCTATGCTGTGGTATTAGTACTTTTACATAGGTAAATAGGATATGAATTCTTCCTCCCCTACTGCTGAATTCCATTGTAGGAATCATATCCGAAATCAGTGCTAATATATGATCATTTGTAATACACAATAGTGCATCTGAACACACTTTGGTGTAAAAAGGTTTTCCCATAATGCAGTATATACTGCACACTTGCCTTTCCTGCCTTTGTGCTGAATCTACAGGTTGTAAATAGACTGCTGTCATGTTAGCTGAGATAGTTGGTGGAAGAAAACTTAATTTGGTGCTTCTTGTGTATCATTTTTAGCTAACTGATGACACAAATTTTGAGATTAGGGTGTAATTTTGCTTCTCTTTTTCATTTTTGTGTGTATGTTTGCAGTTTCAGCAGTGTGAAGAACTGTAACCACGTCCTCTTCAGAGAGTATAACTACATCAGGGCCACTCCTCATAACAGAGCCTCCTTCATCAGAGTCTTCTGGAGATGCTACAGACAGATCGGCAAGAGTGGAGGTCAGTGGAGAGCTAAACATAATTGGAATGGAACTTCTCTGTTTTGATGATAGTTAGATTGTGTTCAAATAAATGTCCCCTTTGTGTACTGTCATTAGTTGCAAAACCCACTTGGCTTGACTGGTTGATTTGACAGTAAATCAGTGGTTCACTGACGTATATTAAGCAACTAGAATTAGCTTTATGTCTTGTTGTTCTCCAGACTTACTGTCTATGCAGGAGTACAGGTCTCTGCTGCAGTTACTGTGTCCAGACTTCCCAGCAGAGATGGTGCAGAGTGCCGCCAGGTCAGTACACCAACATATCACACAACACACTTTCCCTTTAATGCATTTTTTTAGATATCGCAATATATTCAAGAAGAAAACATGACATGTCACATATTTACCCACATATGAAACAAATAAGCTCAACCTCAGTATAGATGAGAGCAGCCATACGTCACTTTCTTCCTCAGAATGACCACGCCCCCTTTTGGGTGAAACAAGTGCTGTAAAAGTGCCTAGCGGTACTATGCCTAGAAGCTGCTGTGTCACACTGCACATCAAACAATAAAGAAAACCCAGTGTATGACTTTCTTTACTTCCCCAAAGAGAGAAGGACAGTGAAAGAAAAGATCAGGGTAATCCACAGCAAGGATAGAAATGGTAAACTGAGGGACTCGGACCGTCTGTGTGCCCGTCAGTAGATGACGTGTCCATTGTTACTGTAGATTGAAGAGAATCAGTAAACAGTCTTAGTGGTGGTATAAATAAAGTTTTTACTGTGAAGGAATATGGCTCTACCATAAAACAACTGCTTTTAGAATGAAGTTTGGATGGACAGTGTGGAGCAGAGGGTATTTTAACCTTAATAATTCACATAAAGTGAGCTGACCTACCTTCTAATAATGAACCTTATAGACCCTTTTACAGCCGACGTCATCAAATAGTTGCACGCGCATTTTGGCAACAGAAGCGGTATTATTTTCCAGCAGTTCTGATTGACAAAGACGAGGTAGCAACCAGTTAGTAGGCATTTACAAACTGTTCCCAGCATCAACATGTCTGGTTGTTGCGTATACGGTTGTACGAATCGCTATTCCACCAGCGGACTAAAGTTTTATAGGATTCCGACAGGATCACAACCATTTCAGAGCAACCGACGGCGTCTGTGGCTGCAGGCGATTAAACGTGTGGACTGGAATGAGGACATAATCAAAAACGCTCGTGTCTGCAGCGCCCACTTTATATCAGGTAAGGTTATCTATCTAGCTTAGGCTACTCTTTGATTTTACTGGAAAGAATTGTTTACATTAGTGATTGTCTGTATGATGTAGAATAATAATAATCAAATGCAGTTTAAGTTGGATAAACTGGAGTTAGATTTGGCTAGTAGCTGCTAGCTTGCTATGCAGCTAAAGTTTTGATAAGCTGGCATTAGATTTGCCTATTA